TCTCTTGGTATCCTCAATATATATAAATGTACCAGGGATCTCTTGGTATCCCGAGGATCTCTTGGTATCCCGAGGATCTCTTGGTATCCTCAATATTATAAATGTGCCAGGGATCTCATGGTATCCCGCACCTCAGTCCAGATCGTAAACACGTGCAGGGGAACTCCTGGGATGCCATCCCGTAGTCCCAAATTTAAACACACAATAACAGCTCAACAATTTTGAAATAAATGCTCGACTCATAACAAGTAACAGTAAATTCTAGCCCTACATACTTCACGAAATACAAACGAAGCAAATTTTAAGCAAGTAGGCAGGTAGATCAACTAAACATGCTTCTCTAAACTAACACAGACTATAATTGCAAGTAAAATAAAGCAAATAAGAAAGAAACTCTGTCTAAGTATTTAAAGTAAAGCCGGATTTTCAACAATTAGCTCAAGTACACGCTCTTCACCTCACGTACGAGGCTTTCAAATATCAAATATCATGTCCTATGGGGAAGAGGTCCCCCACACAAGGTTAGACAAGCCACTTACCTCGAACCGGCTCAATATCAACTAGAAACCACGCTCTTGCCACGAGTATCCGACTCCAAATGGCTCAAATCTATTCAATTCAATTACACATCGTAAATAACATCGCAAACACCTGGTATTGCTAATAAATTCAAAGCTACGGCGTAAAATTAGGTGAAATGACCAAAATGCCCTTCACGCCAACGCCCCGGAATCGAATAATTTTCATATTTTCAGAACCCTCGTACTCTCACGAGTCTAACCATATAAAAATCTCCCAAATCGAACGTCAAATGCTCACTCAAAACTCAATAATTTAGCCGATGAAGTTTTACCCCAAATTATCCAATTTTTGATCCTAAATTCGAATTCCAATGGTGTATTTAACTATAAAATGATGAAATATAACAAGAAGGGACCAAAGAAACGTTACCCAGTGATCTTCACTTCAAATCCCACTCAAAATCGCCTTAAACCGAGCTCTCAATTGATTTTGCAACTTATGAACTCAAACCCTCGACATCTCTATTTCTGTCCAGGGGTTTCCGCTTCTGCGGACAAGGGATCGCTTCTGCGGTCCCGCTTCTGCGGACCACGAGCCGCTTCTGCGGTTCTTCATTAAAGTCAAGATTTCCGCTTCTGCGGCCCTTCACAGCACCTGCGGTTGCCGCTTATGCGGATTCATTACCGCTTCTGCGGTTTCAAACAAAATTCCAAGGACCGCATCTGCGACTACTATCTCGCAGGTGCGTGACCGCTTCTGCGGTTAAACTTCCGCACCTGCGGAAACTGAAGAAGCACTCGAATTTCTCTCCTGCGGTGGTCTAGCCGCTTCTGCGGCTCCGCTTCTGCGCTTCCAAAGCCGCAGAAGCGGAAATACCAGATGACAGAACCTTCAGCAATTCATTCAACTTCAAAATTTTCCGTCAACCACCCAAAATCATCCCGAGGCCCCCCAGACCTCAACCAAAAGCACCAATACCACCTAATACCTTATTGGAACTTGTACCAATCCTTAAAACACCTAAAACAATGCAGGAAACCCGAATTAATCAAAGATTCAAGTCTAAGAACCTCAAATTCCAACCAAACACGCTTTCGATCAAAAACCTAACCAAACCTCGTCCGAATGACCTGAAATTTCGCACACACATCCCAAATGACATGACGGAACTACTGTAACTTCCGGAATTCCAATCCGACCCTCGGATCAAAAACTCACTATATGACCGGAAACTTCAAAAATACAAACTCTGGCATTTCAAGCCTAAATGAGCTACGGACTTCCAAAATACATTTCGAACACGCTCCCAACCTCGAAATCACCTAACGGAGCTAACAGAACCATCGGATTTCCATTCCGAGGTCGTCTTCACACTGTTCCGACTACGGACCATTTTTCAACACTTAAGCTCTCGTTTAGGGACTAAGTGTCCCAAAACTCTTCGAAACTCAAAATCGAACGTCCCGGCAAACCAAAATAGCAGAAATGAACTTAGGGGAAACAACTAAGGGGGGATCGGGGCGTAAATTCCAAAAACGACCGGCCGGGTCGTTACAGTCAACCAGGCACATGTGGTCAAAACTCGAGTTTAGGACTAGATTCTATTAACCCATGATCCCACGAGTCCAACTGTGTGATTAGATCCCAAATACGAGTCCAAATCGATACTCAAAACCCCAAAATATACTTTCTTAGATTGTAGACAAAAACCACAAATTTTAGTTAAAATCTTTTAGGGGTACAAATCCATGGGGAATCAAGATGAATGATAAAAATTAAGTAGAGATTACTTACCCTCAATATTGTGGTGAAAATATCTTCCAAAATTGGCCCTTCCCGATCTCTAAAACTCAAAAATATGAAAAATGAACTAGGGCTCTACTTAAATATCATGTCAGGCAATTTCGCATATGTGGACACTTAGCCGTAGAGAGACATCGCTTCGGTGCACAAAGATGCGCTTTTGCGAGCCTCTAACTCCCAACCTAACTCTACCTTTTGGGACACAACTACTGAATCTGTGCACTCGCAGGTGTGACCATTCCTCTGGAGGTGCGACCTCGCATCTGCAATCTCCCAACTACAGGTGTGAACCTGCCTTGATAGGACACACTTCCCAGGGGAACATAGAACTCCAGAGGTGCGCCCTTTGCATCTGCGCACAAATCCTCGCAGGTGTGATGCACCACACAACGCAATTCCAATCACTCCAAAAATGGTTTGAAACCACCCCGAAACTCACCCCAGCCCCGGGTCCCCGTCCAAACATTCCCACAAGTTAGAAACACTACCCAGTCCCATCCAAAGTCTCCAAACACATACGACCAAGCGTCCAATTTGTACCTAGGCACTTTGGATCTCAACCAAACTTTGCACACAAGTTCCATTCAACAACACGAATCTATTCTCAGTCCCAAAACAACAATTGGAGTCCAATAATATTAAAATCAACTATCAGTCAAACCTGTGAACTCTCCAATTCTTTAAATTGCCAACTTTCTACAAATAGAGTCAAAATCTTCTAGGAACATAAAAAACCAAATACAAACACACGTCTAAATCCAAAATCACCATACAAGCCTATTGGAACCATCAAAACCCAATTCTGAGGTCATTTTCCCAAAAGTCAAACCTTGGTCAACTCTCACAACTTAAGGCTTCCAAAATGAAACTAAATTTTCCAATTTCACTCCCGAACCTTCGCGAAGCCAAGCCATACATCCCCACAAGTTATAAAACATCAGATACACATACGAGAAGTATCAAATAGGGGATCGGGGTTTTAATACTCAAAACGTTCAGTCAAGTCATTACATTCTCCACCTCTTAAACAAATATTCATCCTCGATCAGGTTTAGAAATCTACATGAACTGCAACAAAGATGTGGATATATGCTTCGCATATAGACTCAGTCTCCCGAGTATCCTCCTTGCTCGGTTGGAATCTCCAAAACACCTTCACTAGTACGATCTCCTTTGGCTTGAGCTTTCAAACATGCCTATCCAAAATGGCTACTTCTTCATAAGCCAGATTCTCATCTAACAGCACCACGATGAATTTCAAAACATCCAACTTGTCTTCATGATACTTCCGAAGCAGAGAAACATAAAATACCAGATGAACTCCCAAAATACTAGGAGGCAAAGCCTATAAAGAACATCACCAACTCTCCAACACCTCAAACGGGCCAATGGCTTCAGACTCAACTTTCCATTCTTTCAATATCACTTCACACCCTTCATAGGTAAAACCTTCAAAAGTACCTTCTCACCCTCAATAAATGCCATATCATGGACCTAAACTCTTTTGCCTATACTGAGATGTATGAAGTCGCTCCTGAAACAACTTCATTTTACCAAAGCATACCAAACCAAGTCAATACCAAACAACCTAGCCTCACCAGGCTTAAATCAACCAATAGGAAATCGACACCACTGACCATACAAGCCTTATATGGATCCATTTGAATGCCGGACTGGTAATTGTTGTTGTAAAGCAAATTCTACCAAAGGTAAGAACTCATCCAAATGACCTACAAAGTCAATCATACAAGCCCTCAACATATCCTCATTAATATTAATAGTCCGCTCAGACTGACCATCTGTTTGTAGGTGAAAAACCATGCAAAGCTCCACCTGTGTACCCAACTCACACTGAACAACTCATTAAAAGTGAGATGTGAACTGAGTACCCCGGTCCAAAATGATAGAAATAGGTACACCAGGAAAACGAACAATCTCCCTGATATTGATTGTAAGGCCCCGTGAAAAATTTCTACTCAAAACCCGAGAGCTCGTAGTGCCAAGTTAGGAATACGTGGCGGTTCGGACCCTTTGGACTGATCTATGCATTAAAAAGTCAAGGGATAATGTTTTCCAGAAAAGTGCAATTCTGCGGTCCAGTATGCGGTCGCATAACAACTATGTGGACCGCATAGTTGCCGCAGAGTGAAGCAGTGTGTTGGTCAATTTTGAGGTCAACTATGCGGTCACTTATGCGATAACATAATCAATATGCGGGCCGCATAGTCATCGCATAATCCCCTTGGAATTTTGCGAGGGGTAGTCTGCGGTGCATTATGCGATCGTAGAACAGGTATGCAGACCGCATTTCTATCGTATACACAGACAGTGTGTTTAGGTTTTGGGACCATTTTTGCGGTCCATTTTGCGGGCCGCATGTCAGGTATGCGATCGCAGATCGTGCCGGGGCTCCTATTTTCTAACTTTTAAAACCCGACCCCATTCCATTAAAAACACCCGTTAGACCATTTTTCTATTATTTCACTGTATTTATAGTGAGAGGGGAAGTTCTAGAGAGAGAGGGAGTGATCTTCATCAAGTCCCCACTCAACCCTTGCCCCAAATCTTTGAATATTGTCAAGTGAAATTGCTAGGTCTTCACCTTAAAAGGTAAGAACTTGTACCCTCATCTATAATTTCGAATTTCTGTTAAATTAAGTGATTAGCAAGTGGGTTCATGGGTATAAGGGCTGATAATCTTGCATGCATGAAAGATAATTCCTTTGAAAAAATAGCTTCTCCCCAAAAAATAGCTTCCTAAAGAAATGCTTGACACAATCTGAGTAAAGAACTTGTTTGTAAATTGGTTCCTCTCCATTTTCTAGCACTTCAGCCAAAGGACCAATTACATCACTAGGTTTAGGGTTTACAAAAATTGGAAAAGAAATCCTATTATTGCTGCCATTAGCCATAACTCGATGCTCAATACTCTTGTATCGTCCATTGCTCACTATTTGAAGAGCATCACCAATGTTAATAACCAGAGCTCCATGGATTGGTGGGACATGAACCCATGTTTCACTGTCGAGTTTTTTCACGTAAAGTCCTCCTATATTATCTTGAAGAAGAATTGTTAATGTTGAAACATCAGAGTGACGACCTACTCCAACTGTTAATTTGAGATTAGGGTATTTTGGATAGTAGTTAACATTAATCCTCTTTGAACCCATTAGAAGTGATTCTTTAGTTTGGTCTATTTCTTTTACGTTTAGTCCTTTCATAAGTGCCTCCAACAGCTTCTTGATCACAGTTTCAAAATTTCTCAAGAAGTCCAAAGCTTCCTCCCTGTAAAAAAAAAATGATGAAAAGATTAGTACTCTTGCCCGGAGGCGGATTCAGGATTTGAGACTTATGGGTTCTAGAGGCGGATCCAGAATTTAAATCCTATGGGTTCAATTTTTAAGGTTTTTAGCATTGAACCTATTATATTTTTAAAGCTATGGGTTTATATCTACTTTTTTTTATTAATTTTAGTGAATTTTTACATATAAATTTTTTACTCTGCGTCGAAAGTTATGGGTATGGGGAGGTTGTGAATCAAAAGGATAGCAATTGTGGTATAGGATAATGAAAATCCCTCACAAAAGGGTCCTAGAATCACTGTGCACACTTAGTGCTTGGTAATATGCTCAAATGAGCTAGAATCCTAATCATGTCTCTAATTCTTGGTTCAATTTGCAATTCTTATAAAATAGATTGAAGTGCTAAGAGTCCCGAGATTTATTATAAAGACTTAAGGAAAGCTCTACGGAGGTATGTATGGCTAAACCCCCCCTCCTCTTAGAAATTGAGCTTCCATGGTGGCCGTGCAAATGTTGTAAGTTCGAAGCTTGATTGATGCAGTACTTGTATGTTAAATAAATTGATGTTGTGAAAATGGTTGTGGAAGGTACTTCTTCATGTGTTTAATGTGTTACTCCCATTGAATTGAGGATGTGTGGTGAATTGAACATGAGCTATGTGCTAAATGCCTAAATGTCAAGTCAAGGTTGCATTGTGATTGATGTGCCGAACTAGATAAATTCCTCTCTATGCTTATAACCTAAACTGCTTTTGTGTGTGCCTATGATCTTAAGTGGTAAAGTAAATGTTGAAATTGGGAATAATGTGAAATGTGAGTTATGGGATGTTGTAATTGTGGCCCCAAATGCCGATGAAATAATACATGTGTAACCAAAGATTGGAGTGAGAATGAAATAATGGTAACGTCTCGGGGAGACGGCTTAGCCGATCGGGCCGTGATCGGACGCCATGTTATGCACACATGGTGGTAGTGTATCGATGATTGAAACTAGAAAGTGAAAATGAAACAATGGTAACGTCTCGAGGAGACGGCTTAGCCGATCGGGCCGTGATCGGACTCCGCTCAAGGAAGCGGGGATAATGTGGATAATGATGCAACACTATGGGATGCCCTAATCTAAAATCTCAGAAACATTGTGAAAATTATGTGAACCTCTTATATTGTTGATGTGGTGCATATTTGAAACTTTGTTGTCTTTATGATTTCCTCTTTACTCTTGTATGGTTGTTTTTTCTAACAGGATGGTGTTTAGTTATACATATTAGTACTATTCCATGGTACTAACACCCCTTTTGCCGAGGGCGCTACATTTTTAAATGAATGTAGGTGGCCCCATAGCGGATAGTGCCGATCGCGCGTAGCGGAGCATCCTCCTCTCAAAGTCTTGGTGAGCCCCTTTCTCCATCCAGGGGTTATGTTGTACACCATTTGTTATAGATATCCACTTTTGAGGTATAGCCAGGGCCTTGTTGCCGGCGTTGTTATCATTGTCTTTTGTATCCTTAGAGGCTCCGTAGACGTTTGTGTGGGTTATGTACGGGCGTTGGATGGGTCCGTGAACTATGTTGTAATTATAAACTCTTGCTTTCTTCTAAACTACAACTGTATGAAATCTTGGAGATCTAACTACAGTTTAAGGTTGTGTTATAAAGTGAACTATCAAGGTTGAATGTACAACCCCTCTTATTGTCTAATTAAACGGAAATCGGATCCCTTAAATCACATTGAGTTGGGTAGAAAGTGATTAATAAGGCTTGCTCAGTTGGGTTCACTCGATTGGGCGCCGGTCGTGCCTCCCGAGGTTGGGGCGTGACATTGATCTTGGCCAACTCTTCGAAGTATAAGTAGTCAACAATGGTATGAAATGCACGGACTTGGCCAAACTATCACAACGACCCAATAGAATCAATTCTTTAAAGTTCGTGGCAAGTCTACCATAAAGTCCATAGTAATATGCTCCCATTTCCACTCCGGCATAACCAACCTTTGAGTCAAACCACCTGGTTTCTGATGTTCATACTTCACTTAATGGCAATTCAAACACCATGATACATGCCTAACAGTTTCCTTCTTCATCTTTCGCCACCGGTAATGCTGCTTCAAGTCATGATATATCTTTGCGACACCTGGATGAATAGAATACCTCGAATTGTGAGCCTCCTAAAAAATAAACTCCCTTAAGCATCAACATTTGAAACACAAATTTGATAGTGAATTGCAATACACCATTATCTTTGGTAAACATCTTCTTGGCACCACCCTGCTGCACCATGTCCTTAAGCACCAACAAATAGAGATCATCATATTGGCGAGCCTTAATGCGCTCAAACAAGAACGACTGTGCAACCACACAAGAAAAAATTCTACTAGGCTCAGAAATGTCCATTCAAACAAATTTGTTAGCCAAGGCCTGAATATCCATAGCCAAAGGCCTTTCCTCAGCTGGAATAAATGCCAAACTCTCCATACTCTCCACCTTTCTACTCAATGCATCTGCCACCATAATCACCTTACCCGGATGATACAAGATAGTGATATCATAGTCCTTAAGCAACTCAAGCTACCACTATTGCCTCAAATCCAAATCCTTCTGCTTGAACAAGTGCTGAAGGCTGCAATGATCAATAGGCCTCATATGGTACACTTTATAAGTAATGACTCCAAATCTTTAGTGCTTGCACAATAACTACCAACTCCAAATCATGAGCCAAATAATTTTCTCATGAGGCTTCAACTGCTGTGACGCAAGGGCAATGCATGAAGCATCATAATACACCAAGTATGGCCCTGAACATGTGGGCAATACCAAAGTTGGTCTATAGAAGCATTCTTGAGCTTCTGAAAGATTGCCTCACGTTCATCAGACCATCTAAAAGAAATACCTTTTTGGGTCAACTTGGTCAATAGGGCTGTAATGGATGAAAACCCCTCTAAAAAATGATGGCAGTGGCCTGCTAAATCTAAGAAACTCCGAATCTCCATAACTGAAGTGAGTCTTGGCCAATTCTTGACTCCCTCAATATTCTTAGGATCAACCTTAATACCATCACTAGACACAACATGACCCACGAATGTAACTGAATCCAACAAGAACTCACATTTTGAAAACTTAAAGCTTCTGATCGTTCAAAGTCTGAAGTACTACTCTTATGCATTGCTCATGCGCCTCTCTTCAACGAGAGTAAACTAGTTAATGAACACAATCATGAACGAATCCAAATAAGGATTGAACATCTAGTTCATCAAATCCATGAAGGCTGTTGGAGCATTAGTCAACACAAATGACATCACCAAGAACTCATAATGACCATAACAGGTCCTAAAAGCTATCTTCGAGACATTCAAAGCTCTGATCTTCACCTGCTGATATCCCTACCTCAAATCAATCTTCTGCACCATAAATTGGTCAAACAAATCATCAATACGACGCAATGGACACTTCTTCTTGATAGTAAATTTTTTCAACTGTCAACCATTGATAATCAATGCACATCCTTATAGAACCATCCTTATTTTTCACAATATGTACCGACCCACCCATAGAAGAAACACTCGATCTAATTAATCCCTAATCAAGCAAATCCGAAAACTGCTCCTTCAATTCCTTCAGCTCAACTGGAGCCATGCAATATAGTGGGATATATATAGGCTGAGTGCCCGAAACCAAGTCAATATCCCTATCTGGTGGCATGCCCGATAGATCTGCAGGGAAAACCTTCAGAAACTCCCTCACAACCGGTACCGAATCCATAGAAGGAACCTCCGTACTCAAATCTTGAATGTGCCAAGGGTTACTTTCCACTCTAGTGTAGGGCAACCATGACATAGCTGAAGTCAAAGTCGTGGCGTGTCAATCCAAGATGGCATGATACGGGGACAACCAATCCATATCCAGAATCACCTCAAAATCCACCATATTTGTCATGACCCAAAATCCCACCATTGGGGTCGTGATAGCACCTAGTCTCTAAGGCTTGGTAGGCCTATCACATAACAATAGCAACATAATATAACAACTACAAATTTAATAAAAACTAAGAAACATGATAAAAAATGCCAATCATGGATACCATAAGTAACTTCCTTAAACCCAAAAATACTGAGTCATAAGCTCTACAAGGAGCACATAACAAGTCCAAAAGTAGAAACGAAATAAAGAGGGTGACTCCGAGGAATGCAGAGGGAACAACATGGATACATTAAAGTCTCCAACAGCTCTGGGACCTCCTAACGATCAGCTCGGTCCGAAGTACCTGGATCTGCACAAAGAATGGGCAGAAGCGTAGTATGAGTACACCATGGTTGGCATCTAGTAAGTATCAAGACTAAATCTATGGAGTAGTGACGAGGTTCAAGTAATGACACTCACTACCCAAATAACATATGCAAGATATTAAAAGAAAATTGACAATGGAAAGTTTGAAGAAATATATATCAACAACCTTGAAGAACGTGGAACAACAACTCAATGTAGAATAACCCTTTTTTACCAACCAAATATCAAATAAGAGTGGGACATGTGATAGAATTTCAAATCAACCAATAACTCATAAAAACACAAGATAGAAACATTTAAGAGAACAAGTATGTGATCAAAACATCAACCACATTCCGACACATGAACAATATCAAGGGAACACCCCGGAATATCACACAACATCATCAACAATGCCACCCTTATGTCGCCGTGTTCACATCACAATGAAATGTTCCCCTTATGTCGCCGCAAACGCATAAGCCACCCTTATCTTACCGCATGCGCATCACAATAAAACTCCCCTTATATCTCTGCCCGCGCATCTCACTACCCTTATACTCCACACAAAATAAATCAACCCGGATAACTTGTTCACATGTGCCACAATATCACTAAACAACAATACTCAACCACATCATGATATTGCTCACAACTTAACAATAAGGTGCACAAGAACATAACAATAACATAAAAGTGTGGGGAGTATTCAGCAATAGAGCATGTTTGATAAAGCAAACAACACCAATTCAAGGCATGTTAATAGCCTTAGGTCTAATCCGGTCATAAAACACACATACGCCCGTGTACACACTCGTCACCTTGTGTACACTTCGATTTACATAACACAAATATGCAAATTAGACCAATTCCTATGGGGTAATTTCCCTCACACAAGGTTAGACAAGATACTTACGTCAAATAGCCCCAATAGATACTCTAAAATTCTTTTGCTTTAAGATTCACCTTCGCTCGGCCCAATACAAGCAAACAACGAATCAAAAATATCAAAAATACGAGGGATATCAATTTCAATTAATAAAGTTACAATCTTTACCCAATTTCCAAAAAGTCAACATAAGTCAACCCTGGGCCTACCAGTCAAAACCCGAGTTGAGGGGTAGATCTCAACTACCCATGACCCCACGAGTACAAATATATGATTAGTTTTTAAATCCGAGTCCAAATCGACTCTCAAATATCAAAGTTTTACTTTTCAAAACATAGTAAAAAATCCCCATATTTCCCTTCAAATTACATGATTTTGATGTTGAAATCTATAAGTAATCAAGTTATAATATCAAAATTGAGTGAAAATCACTAACCCAATAGCTATGTATAAAAGTCCCCTACAAAAATCGCCTCCCACTGATTCTAGGGATCAAAATGTGATAAAATGAGATTAAGTCCCGAAATCCCAACTACTGTTCAATTGCAGAAGTCGCAATTGTGACCTGGGATTCGCAAATGCGACCTTCGTTGCGACCAATGGATCGCAAATGCGAAGTTTGCTTAGCCCAGGGAATATCGCAAAAGCGACGCATGCCTTTGCAAATGCGAAGTCTCACCCTGCCAAACAACGTCGCAAAAGCGACCTGCCCAGGCCCCAAGACCCTATCGCATTTTACGAGACTGGCTTAACAAATGCGATGCCTATCATTCCTGCCCACCTTCGCAGATATGGCTTATGCCTCGCAAATAAGAGGCTCACAAATGCGAACTGTTTCTCGCATTTGCGAGACCTGCAACACTAGCAACAAAGAACAAAGTCCAAAACATCCTGAAACACTTCTAAAACTCACATGAGTCCCCGGGGATCCATACCAAACATTCACACAAGTCTAGAAATATCATACAAACTCGCTCGCGAGCTTGAAACACCAAAATAACATCCAGAACCACGAATCGAACGCCAAAGTGCATCGAATTCACAATGAAACTTGAGAACTTCTAAAATCACAGCCAAGCATCTGAGTCCTACTAAACCAACTCGGAATGACACCAAACACTGCACACAAGTTCCAAATGACAAAAATGACCTATTCCAAATCCTTAAACCAAAATCTGAACCCGATAGCCACAAACTCAATCCATGGTAATATTCTAAACTTTCAAATTGGCAACTTTCGATAAAAAGAACCATTTCATCCCAAGAACTTCCAAATTCAATTCTAGGCATATGCCCAAGGTTGAAATCACCAGGGGAACCAGATAGGACTATTAAAATACCATTCCGGGGTTTTCACAAAAGTCAAACCTTGATCAACTTTCCAACCTAAGCTTCTAAACTATGAACCAAGTGTTCTAGATCAACCCAAAACCTTCGCGGTACCAAACCAACCATCCTCTTAAATCACAAAACCACAAATACACATACGGGAAGGTTCAAAAGGAGGGGCTCAAATACACAAAACTACCAGTCGGGTTGTTACATTCTCCCCTTCTTGAACTAACATTCATCCTCGAACGAGTATAAGACATACTTGTAGTGCTAAAAAGATGGGGATATCGGCTCCGCATGTCATGCTCAGTTTCCCAAGTCACCTCCTCGACCAGTTGACCTCTCAATTGAACCTTCACCGATGCAATATTCTTCGACCTCAACTTTCAGACCTGCCTGTACAGAATAGCCACCGGCTTCTCAACATATGTCAATTCCTTGTGCAGCTGCACCTAGCTAAAATCTAACACATGTGATAGATAATCATAATACATTTAGAGCATGGAAACATGGAACACCGGGTGAACTACCGATAAGCTGGGTAGCTAAGCAAGTTTGTAGGTTGCCTTACCAACTCTCTCTAGAATCTCAAAAGGACCAATATACCGAGGGATCAACATTCCCTTCCTCCCGAACCTCACGTCCTTCATGGGCAAAACTTTGAGCAAATCCCTCTCACCCACCATGAATGCCATATTACGAGCCTTCCTATTAGCATAACTCTTTTGCTTGGACTGTGTTGTACGAAGCCGGTCCTGAATCAACTTCACCTTCTTCAAAGCATCACAAGCCAAAATAGTGTGCAACAACCTCCCATGTAAGGCCTCATATGGAGCCATATGGATGCTCGACTGGTAGCTATTATTGTAGGCAAACTCTACTAGCGGTAGAAATCGATCCCAGTGACCCTCGAAATTAATTACGCAAGCTTGTAACATGTCCTCCAAGATCTGAATATTATGCTCGCTGACCGTCCGTATGTGGACAAAATACCATACTCAGCTTGACCTATGTGCCTAATTTATGCTGCACGGCTATCCAAAAATGCGATGTGAATTGCATGTTTCAATGTGAGATAATAGACATCGGCACACCATGCAGGCAAACGATCTCTCTGAGATAAATCCGAGCCACCTGCTCTGAGGAGTAGGTAGTCACTACTAGAATGAAGTGTGAAGACTTGGTCAGTTTGTCCATAGCGACCCACACAATGTCAAATCTCCTCAAGGTCCGTGGTTGCCCAACTACAAAATCCATAGTTATACGCTCCCACTTCCACTACAGAATATATAGCCTCTAAAGAAAACTGCAGGTCTCTGATGTTCATACTTAACCTGCTGACAGTTCAAAGATTGTGCCATATACTCAACAATATCTTTCTACATTCTTCTCCACTAGTAGTACTGCTTCAAATCATGGTACATCTTTGCGGTGCCCTAGATAAATGGAATACAGAACTATGGGCGTCCTAAAAAATTAGCTTCCGTAACTCATCCACATTGGGCACACAAATCCGGCCCTGAACCCTTAATACCCTTTCATCACCAATAGTCACCTCCTTAGCATCACCGTGTCCTTAAGGACAAGCAAGTGGGGATCATCATACCGACGTGCCTTGATGCTCTCAAACAAGGATGACCGTGATACCATGCAAGCAAGAACCTTTCTAGTGTCCAAAACATGTAACCTCATGAACCTATTGGTCAAATCCTAAACATCCAAAGCTAACAGTCTCTCCCTAATTGGAATAAATGCCAAACTCCCATGCTCTCAACCTTCCTACTCAAAGCGTTAGCCACCATATTGGCCTTCTCGGGATGATAAAGAATGGTAATATCATAGTCCTTTAGTAGCTCTAACCACCTCCGTAGACTTAGGTTTAAGTTCTTCTGTTTGAATACATGCTGAAGACTCTTCAGATCTGTGAACACCTCACAAGACACGACATAAAGATAGTTCCTTCAAATCATGAGTGCCTGAACAATAGTTGCTGATGAGCACAAAACACACACTTAAATATGCTCGCCATCGAATATAGTATAATATAATATCGTAATCATAGGGATTGGACTTAAACAATGTTCTTGTATTTTCTATCTTGATTGCTATCCAAGATGATCGACATTTAAGATTTATATGATTAAGAACTAAAATTAACTAAGAATCTAAAGCTATTGACTAGTGACAATTGTAACAATGAGTAAGCAAAGAAGGTTATCAGTGGGAGAAATTGGGTTTTGATGGAATAGGTGTAAGATAATTGTTTGGGATCTAACTCTAGATAATTCACTTATAATTTTAAAGTGAGTCTCTTGAATTCACTCAATTATTAGTTCAAATGTTAGTAGAAACTCCTCTCTCAATTAAGTCTCAACCTCACAAGATGAACAAATTTAAGCTCGGTGAAGATATGATGGAATGCGTAATGGATTGGTCTTTAGGAGAACCTCTCTCGATTATCCTCCTAACTAGGTTTAATCAATGATTCAACTAGCCTTTTCCGATTACTAAGAAGAATTAATAAACTCAACCAACAATATAATGCAGAGATATCACAAGTTATGCCTCACTCGATTACATGAACAAGAGAATAAAGATGCAACAATTAAATCATCCAAAAATGCTTCAATGCATAAAACTAGAGTTAATTTCCGCAAACAAATATCAATACACAAAATACATCAAACCCTAAAGTGAAATACTCCATAGACATGGAGTAATTCATCACAAAATTAATAAAAGTATAGGAAAACATAAATTCAGTCCAAACTCGGGTCTTGAGTGAAGAAGGAATGATGAAATCCTTTTGATTTTGCTCCTCTAACTCCTCCTTATCTTCCTTAGGTCCAAAAAAGTCAAAAGTCCAGAAAATAATGTTTTCCATGTATTTATACAAAGTAGGGTCGGGCCCAGATGAAACCACATTCTCCTAGCTGAAATAGGATTTTCACTTTGTAAAAATTGCATAGGCGCGCCGCATGGGGCGATGCGCCATGCGAGGCATTAGTGCGGAAATCCAGAGAGCTGAAGATCTGATAGGCAGCAGGAATTATGCAGCCGCGGCGCACCACTCGTCGCCCCACACGCTGCAATGTTGGACTTTTCTCTGAGTGAAGTTCAAACCTTAATTTTTGATGTCCAGACTTGGTCCTCGACCCCAGAACGCGATCCTGGCTTAATCATTTGGGCTTTTACTCAGACTTCAAAGCTCCAATTAGCTCGAATTAGCTTCGTAACATCTACATCACTCGGAATGACTCCTAAAAGGCATAAAACACACAATAAATACAACACACCAGCGAATAAAGTTCAAACCCAATTAAAGTGCAGTAAATTAGAGTGCATTAAGATACTAAAACACGAGATTATAGCTTACCATCAATACCCCACACTTAATCCATTACTCGTCCTCGAGCAATCTAACTACACTTTACATAAACACGACCTTTTTAAACAACTCTCCTAAATCATCATACTAAGAATATTTAAAATAGATTAAGCACACTAGTGTAACATATCCGCCTCAAGGTTTGACTCACAAGTACCACACATTTTTCACAACCCGCTCACTTACTATAACATAGAGGTCAACGACATTACCTTCCCTTCATGAATCAAGTCCCTCACACAACATTAGAGAGTAGTTCCACATACAATAAAAGTTAAAAACCATTAGGAACTCAACATAGAAAGAATTCACTCACTCTCAGAAACAACATTCATATGCAACAATAGACATACCATAGGCTTGCCCATAGTGTACTACTCTACTAATTGAGCTCATTCAGTCAAAGATCAAGTAGGACTTAATTGGTTGTAATGTTGGCTGCGGGACGGGTAAGATACATTTGGATCTCAGAGCGACTACACCTCCCTAAGCAATTTAATACTTACACTTTACCTTTCAAAACCCCACACTTATGTCAAACCATAACTCCACCTTCACATCAATATATATTAACTCCCTACTTCTTTAAGCACAACTACATCAAGAGCTACCACTTATCAAGGAATATTTGCACAACAATCAACTATTATTTTTCAATTTCTCTTCAAGTGGATCTTACTTTTTCAAAACAGTGCACCTTTCTCCTTATTTCATTAATTCCCCTAAAAAGCCAAACCAACACCCTAAACTTTAACTTTTACAAAGTTCATAACAAATTCAAGTGCTCATGAGAGGTGAAAAGGTTCAAACAGACCGTCAATTCAAACGAATGGGTAAGCTTGTAATGTAGTTGCCAAAGAAACAAGTTTACATGCTCAAAAGGGGTTAACTAAGGTACATAACAATTAGGTGGGTAAAACATATATTTGACTCAACAAAGAAATGCCTATATCACTTCCAAGACTGAACAAAACTACTATTTCGCTTCGCAAAAATACGGGGCAAGTTCTAGACATCAAATGCAATGCACAGAATAAGACAACCTCACACCCACATGGCTCATTACTTACTCAAGATCGGACTCATCAAGACACTCTAGCCAGAGCAGTTAAGAAAAGTTAAGATCATGCAGTTTAAGGTACTTATACAAGAGTCAAAAACTGAGCCTAAGCATCACAACTAAAGCACTCACTATTCTCAAGGTACAACAAAGTTAAAAGACAATGCTCCCATTTAAATCATAGCACAAGGTTTTCCTACTCCTAAAAAATAATGAAGACTAACTATACCCGGTACAAACAAAACCCTTGGAAAAGAACCGTGGCCCAAAAAAAAACCAAGGGGGATTTATTACACTACCTAACAAAAGAAAATCCTTTTGTCCTTTTCCTTCGACTTTAATCCCTCAAGAAACCTGTCGATGATATCCATTGTCGTGAAAAATATTTTTTTAAATTTTTATGTATTTTTTCTATCTCTAACTACTACAACTGACAAAAAAGAAACTAAAATTTATATACATATAACATACAAATATCCTCCACCCCACACTTTTAGTTGAGGCATGTCCCCACTATACACAATTAAAAAGTATAAGGTAAAGGAAATTTTCCTGAATATCTAGTCGGGGTCTAAGTTGAAGTCGGGCTCCGTTCCTTGCGCCCGAACTAATGCACACATCCATGCATATAACTTCTTCTAAGCCTTCTTGGGGTACTCCCTACACTTATCTTTCTCACTCACTGCAGCCTTCTCTTTCGAGTTCTTCACTTTTCACTCACACTTGCAGCTGGCTTCTCCTTTTTTTCTACATCCATCTTAAAAGTCACTTGTTCCTCACCCACTCTAAGCATGAATTTTCTCTCGTGTATATCTAATATTACCCTACCCGTTGCTAAAAATGGTCTTCCTAAGATGAGAGGGACCTCCTTGTTCTCCTCCATCATCACCACTATAAAATCTATAGGAAATATGAACTTATCTACCCGAACTAAGATATCTTCAACTATCCCCGCAGGTATTAGAGTTGTTTGGTCTACCAGCTGCAATGATATTGGTGTAGACCTTATCTCTCCGATCTCATTCTCCAGTTTCCTGTAAATAGACAGAGGCATTAAATTAATTGAGGCACCATCATCACATAAAGACTTATCAAAATTAATAGCGCCTAAAGAGCAAGGTATAATAAAACTCCCTGGATCTCCACACTTCTGTGGGAGTTTTTTTTTGCAAGATTGCACTGCAATGCTATGTGAGCTTGACCACTGAGGTCTCTTCTATCTTCCTCTTCTTTGTAAGGATCTCCTTCAAGAATTTGGCATAAGTTGGCATTTGTGAGAGCACTTCTGTGAATGGTAAGTTTACATTAACCTGTTTCAGCATATCCAGAAATCTCTCAAACTACTTGTCCAGCTTTTCTCTATATAGCTTTTAGGGAAAAGGTAAAGCAGGCATGTGCTTGCTCTCTTGATGTTCCTCCCTTCTCCAATTCTCTTCCTTCTTCTTTTTCTCGGCTCCCTTCTTGCCTTTCTTCTTCTTATCAACTTCAATTTTCAGCTGTTCCCCCTTTCTTTTTCAAGTTCCACATCTTTTTCGACTGAGGTGGGATCTTTCAACACTTTCCCACTTCTCAAGGTTATATCATTCACTATTTCTTTGGGGTTTCTCTTAGTATTAGCGGGAAGAGTACCTGGGATTCTCTCAGATAATATTGTTGCAATCTGCCCCACTTGCTTCTCCAGATTTTGAATTGCTGCCCCTTGTACTTCAAATCTTTCATTAGTTTTCATAATAAAGACATTTATGAGATCTTCTAGACCAGGCTGATTGGGCTGTTAAGGCTGAAACTGTTGCCTTTGCTGATTCACAAAACCAGGAGCTCCTTGTCCCTGAAATCTAGGGTTATTTTGTTTCCATGCATTTGTGGTACCCCAAGGTGAACTCCATGAAAAACTAGGGTGCTTCTGACCTATTGCATTAAAGTTGTAATTTCCCACAACATTCACTTCCTTAGTTGAGGCTTGACACTCATGAGTAAGGTGTCCTCTTCCACATATATCACAAGCTACATGAGGTTCACTCTGTATTGTAGCTAAGGCCAACTTCCGTATTTCTTTAGCCATAAAATCAAGTTGTACATGCACAGATGTATTAGCATCAACTTGATGAACACCAGTTAAACTTCTTCTTTCAGCACTCTCAGAGGGCCACTGATTTGCATCTTTAGACAACTCATCAAGAATTGTAACTATTTCCTTCAGAGTCTTCTTTATCAACCGGCCTCCAGCTGCATTGCTCAATGTTTTATGTGAGGCCGGTGTCAATCCATCCCAAAAGTCCTGGAGTTGCATCCAGAGTTTGATTCCACTATGTTGATACTTTCTGACTATATCCTTAAACCTCTACAAAGCTTTAAACACATTTTCAGTCTCTTTCTGGCAGAAGTTATGGATTTCTCTTCTAAACATTTTTGTCTTAGCTGATGAGAAATATTTATCAAGAAATTTCTGGTCATCTCATCCCATGTTCTAATTGATCCCGTGGGCAAGCTTCGAAGCCACTGCTTTGCATCATCTTTGAGTGTGAAGGGGAATGCCCTTAAGTATACTGCATGTTGTCACACACCATTGTATTAAAAGGTGTTCATAATCTCCTCGAAGTCCATCAGAAGTGTGTTAGGATCTTCGTTCATCTTTCCTATGAAGACACAACAGTTCTGTAGGGATTGAAGCACCCCTTTCTTCAACTCAAAATTGTTAGCTGCAATTGGAGGTGGTCTAACACTTGATAATCCTTGGTTGTAGACTGGTCTAGCATAATCGCCGAGTGATCTCCCAGCCCCAGGAGCTATATTTCTAAACTTGTCTGCAGCAAAGGGTTGATTTTGAGCAATTCTCCGACCCCTCTCTTCTTCATAGATAATCTGCGCATCTCTGATAGCTGTTTCCTTAGTATCTCGCGCAGCTTTTCATCATTGCTGGGCTACCTCTCTTGCAGCCAAATCAACATTATCATCATCGTCTCCAGCCATAGTTTCTTTGGTTGAGGATTGCCTGTCGCGCCCCCTTTTTTTCCTCCTCGCGGAGAAAGTCTGGGTTTCGACATTCATGGGGAATCAACTCGTTTCCTTTTGGGATTTGGGTATTTGAAGAGTCGCCACCTAACGAATTATGGTGCGTTAGGGAACCTAGAGCGGTTAACTCATGTAACTAGTTTGCATAACCAGAGATTAGGGTAAGGGCTCGAAATAACCTTGAGGGGAAGGTTTTAGGCACCCCTCGTGGTCCACAACGGTGGGTCCTGCCCGAACTTATATAAATTAGTCATGTAGCAAGTAAACAATTTCAAATATTTGCAAATAAAGGCATGTTTTTACATTCTACACACATGTAAGATTCAGGTAATGGGAGCAAGAGAAAGGTTTGAACAACTTGCACATATGTAAAGAAAAGTAAAATCATTTAAACAACGGGAGTTGAGAAAGAGGGGTCCTAGGTTGGTTAGCCTACAGGATCATACTCACACAATGCCCGGTAATCACTCCTCAATGAGGGGCTACACGCAGCATTAACGCGTAGTCATTATATCCTTACTACCCAGTTCCCTCCCCTTGGTTATAGACTAAAGCGTTCTAGCAACCTTGAAGGATATCCTATGCGTGCACTACCCGTCCCTTCCTTGTGGCCATGGAGGTATTTAGGACCTTTAATTTAGGTAGTTCTAGACCATCCTAAGGTACTTAGAGGAAAAAATCTAGTCGTCAACCAAAAACAATTGGGACTGCACCAAAGAGAGAACACTTAAAGGCTCACATTTACCTCCACAACAAAGCAAGCAAGTGCACGTCTTAAACATAGTTTTCGGATATTTAAGAGGAACTCTAGAACAGGATATCTAGGTGAGCAGTGAATATGCAGTATTGAGTTAGGACAAAGGTGTAAAAGAACTAGTTTGCCTTCTGATTTTTAGACCTGTTGAACATGAGCAGTTACAAATAAAAGGCATACTTTTACGATTTGCAGAATTTTAGTCGCCCTACAGGCTTGCCTAGGCGTATAATAGTGATGTCCTATGAGCATGGTACCTAATCATTTATCAGTAATGTAGTAAAATAGTAAGCAACCTTAAACGGGCAATTTGAAGCCTATAGTCATGCTCTTTAGTGATATTGATTAATGCAGCGTTGAAAACTTATTAAAGAAACGAATGGATTGGTTAATGATTCAAAATCTACAAACATGAATTAAACTGGTTTTAGATCTAATTAAAGCTGATTTAAATCCTATAGACATGATTTGTAATTAAACATAAGGTGAAACAAGCAGAATTTATTTGACCAAAGCGAAATCCCTATAGGCATGATTTCTATTAAAGCTGATTTTAAATCCTATAGGCATGATATCTAATTATATGAAATGGAGCAGGTAGAATTCATTTCAACCAAGAAATCCTATAGGCAGATTGTCTAGCACAACACATGTAAATCAAAATAAATCCTATAGGCATGTTATCTACCCAACTTTACCCATAATATACAACTACCCTCCCTTTTCACTAGTCACCCCAATGTTTGTTTACAATTAATTATTACAGACCAAGAATTGAATGAATTACATAAATATAAATATACATTAAACTACAAGGAGCCTGAAGTAGGCCCAAAGTAGTTTCCAAGCCTTCGGTAGCCTCAAGTGCTCAAAGTTCCATAGCTAATTTCATGTCTAGGTGTGTCAGAGTTCCCTAAGGACCTCAAGGATCCCGGGCAGTGCTCACACCCAGACCTTCCTCAAGTAAGAATGAATTTATTTGAAGTCTGGAAGTGCCAACCCAGATATGCCAGAGTTCAGAGAGATCTCAAGGCAGTACACATACCAGAGGGGCAGGACTTAGTAAACTAATAGTAAGTGAGAGTGCATAATGATTTGAAAGTATTTGATAAACAGTATAAAGAAAGGTCTTAGGAGTGAAAAGAGTTGCTGAAAACCAGTACCAATTTAGAGGTAAAGATAGTTTGAGGAAAGTATGAAAAACAATTTTTTGCAGTCAGAACATAAGTCACAAAACAAATAGCCTTAGAAAAATACTTTGACAAACAATTTCCACACAAGGAAAGAGGGGTTGGGGAACACATAGAATACACCTTATTGGAGCACATAAACAACAAGATGTATAGAATACTCAAGGGATTCTACAGAACTGATAGGTTAGATAGAATGCAGGTCATTGAAACAAGGATCACAGCAGAAACTTGTTTGAGGACATATAAACTGTAGTTACCCTTAGCAGGTAGAACATGCAAGAACTTGAATGAACATGCTAGGCAAGTATTAACAAGTGTAGGCATGCTAATTACACAAAAGCAAAGTTTAGGCATGCTGGATAAACAATAGTCTGCCAAACAGGCTAGTTACATATGCCAGACATGTTAAACAAGATAGTGAACAGACAAGTAAGATGGGGACATGCTAATTGTATATTTGAATAAGGCAGTATTTGGCATGCTAGGTAAGCATAAACAAAAGCAGAAATGAATTCAGGAATGATGAACTAAGACAGTAAATAAACACATAGGTTTGAACTCTGAAATTTAATCAGAAGCATACCAGTTAGGGAAAAGAAAACACAAGATGTAAGACATATGTTGCACAATTTCCAGCCTTGGCATGCAGCCGGCTAGAATAACAAAGATCACAAGTAGCATAGAGGGCAGAAAGAGTTTTTTTTAGAGTGTAAGAGTGTGGAGGAATTACTGTTCGTGTGTAGAGGTTAAAATAAAGAGAGTTTATATAGTAGCTCAAGAGTAGGGCAAATAAGGTAAAGCAATCAACAATCAGTAATTAAGGAATTTCAGAATCAATTACACGAAGATTCAGCATAGTCTTCTCCTTTAATTAAGGAGAATCAACAAACGGTAATGACATGAGCTAATTAAGGCAACAGGTTCAATTAGACCGAGTAAAGAAGTAAGAATCAGAGATATTGTTAAGGAAAAGAGTTCAAATCAAACCAAAAATAAAGAGCTTCGGAGTACAATAGTCAAGGGTTTAATTAAGGAAAGAATCATGCAAGGAGTCAGCAAGTATCGCAGACAATTTCAAATAAGGCAAGAAAGGAATAGTCAGGAAACAAATTGATAAATCAAGATTTCAAATCTACACTGATTTAAGGGTGAAGATATAGGTTTACCATGAATAGACAAAAAATGAAAATAGACTCATAGAATCAGTAAAAAGTCGAACCAAGAACCTTAATAGAGGCACATTAGGATAAAAAATCACAAGACATCGGATTAGGCTAAACAAAAATCACAGGAACCAAAGCATAGGACGAAGTCAGTACACAGTAAACCGGACAAACACAGAATCCAAACAAAATGTCGAGGAATTAGGGTTTTTAGCATAAACGAGTTGGTGTTAAGGCAAACCTTACGAAATTGGTTAAAACACATAAGAAACAGAAGATTAAACATTCAAAATTATCAAACGTTTTGGAGAAAGAAATTTTCGGGAAACCCTAGTTTAGAAAAATGGGAAACCATTCGAAAATCAGAAGGTTCTTGTGAAACTCATGTGAAATAGGTTTGATCTATCTCAGATGTGGCACAGTTCTGAGAAGTTCAAAGGACAAAAATTAGGGTTTCGAGAAGAACAACACAGAGATGAGGAAGCAAGCTTAGAAATACGTAGATCTAAGGCGGCATAGGGAGATCTTACTCAAAATCGAACTGGAACAACCTGAGATAGGCGAGCAAAGACCAAAAGGCCTAAGCGGACTAACCCTGGTCCCTTGA